TAGAGTCGTCAAACCAAACAGTCAGCTCGCGATACCTTTCCGCTCCGAGGCGCCCCACATTGTGAGCGATCTCAACGCCAAGTTCGCCGAGTCACACGGCAGTAAGACCAGCCCGCCTCCACGCGTTAACGTTATGCAAACTGAAAGACAAAACTCTCAAAACCACCAGGTTCCCAACAGACAGTCTCTGTCTCTTCTCCGACTTATACAAGCTCTGAAATTAGTCTTTCACCTCCACGAATGAGGAATAGAAAGTGTGGTGAGGGCAGAGGAATGTGAGGTGTGCGGCGAGCGGAGGTTGGTAGTACTGGAGGAGGCGGGGGCTGACATGCTCACGCACATGGCCACACGCATCATGCACATGACCACACACAAGATAATAAACTCGAAAAAATACATACATACCGTCTATAAATTACCCGCTGTACTCACACGAAACAATTTAATACTATGGCCAATGATACTTGAGAGGCAGGTGGGAGGACCACCAGCAAAATAATATACAGGCACTGTATAATAACAACGAGGAGACAAGTTGACTGATGGCCATGGCGAGAGTCGTCCCTGGGCACCGGGGTCAAGGCGACACACCGCCCCGAGATAATAAAAGCCTTTAATATCTGTGTAGCGTAAAAACTGACTTTGTGAAGAGGTATGCAGACCTTAGCTGTTGAAACCTCTAAATACAATATACTCTGTACATTAAAACAACAACAATGGGATACAACAAGTGTCCTGTACACAAGAGGAGAGCTGCACGGGGCCAGGGGTGAAACTTGAAACGGAGGAAAGATGTATGACTGAATGGAAGCAACAAGTGGGTGTAAATATTGGGATAGTTTAAGGATGTGGTGTCCCAGATGTACCGGTGAAAGGTATTAAAAGGGGAGGGGGACGCTGCAGGGGCGACAACCACAACACTGATGACTACCACTTAACCAGGAAGCCAACCAACAGTCACCCACAGCCACCCACCAACCCACAACGGGATTCAGTCACGGGCAGTAGCAACTCCAGATAATGAAGCTCCTCCGGCAAACTACCACCTGCATGGTACAGTGGCCGGAAAATAGTGGGATGCATCTCCGAGGTCGAGTGACGGGGCCGCAAGCTTATTGGACCATCAGTGGTACTTGTGACCGACTGCCGCTGTGACACCACTGCCTCTCTCATGGGTGTTGACACCCCTCGCCTCTTCCTGTACTGACAGGTATGCAGACTTCTACACCGAGACTTGACTATGTGTAAACTGTTGTTCTTGTGCCGTGAGGAATGCAGCAGATGAAGACGAAGTGAAGATGAGGCGTCAGGCCGTCAGAATAATGTTGACATTAGTGAGTTGGGGACCAGAGGGAAGGTGACAAATGTTACAGCTTGTACGTGGCAACTGTTTAATTTACGGCGCTGGTGAAGCGTGGCGACTGTCTGACGTCATAACTAACGAGCTAATTGAAACTGCGGCGAGTTTGTGTCTCCCTCATCCATCCTGCAGCAACCCACCCATACACCCACCTTTTACGGTCAGCACACTTCACCCATTAGCCAGTCCAACGCCCTCACCGTCCATAGCACCCTCACCTCTGTCATGTTTTGAGCAGGAGCTCACGGCCGAGTTGACGGTAGCGAGGGATCAGGTTGGCCAGGATAATTGTGGAGACAATCAACCACTTCCTGGGATGACAGATATAATGATATGTCAGACAGTCTTGGCCTGACACTCCCTCCACACCGCCCTCCCTCCTCCCGACACACACACCAGACCCCCAACATCCCCCCTCCTCCTCCTCCTCCACGCCAAACTCACTCCACCATGACCTCCACTAGCAACACTCAAGAGCCTGACTCTCCACGAGTGTTTATACAAATAAATTACAACAAAAACATATGCTGTCATCTCCAACAAAAGCTTGAACAGTAATATCGTGTGTTTTAAATTACCCCCACACACAGTGGAAGTGTCAGCAGGGAAGTACAGAGTAACAGGTGGTTAGGTCCATGCCTATGATACCAACAGCACCATCACGGGCAACAACAGGGTCAGCCCGAGCAGCAACACCGTTCGCTGCTTCATTCCACCCCGCAATGATACGCTTATTGGTGGAGGACTGTTCGTCTGCCTCGAGTCAGACTTGAACCTGATGATTACAAAGTATTTTATCTCGGGGCCTATGACAAAAGTGAAGTTTTTGTTCCACCAATGTCAGCAACCTGGGAGTATAGGAAGGATATGATACATGAGGATATTTGAAAAGTAAAAAATACCGCTTTGATGACTGCAGAGCCACAAAAGGAGATCATATTAAGCTTGTAGAGTATAGCCCCCACAGCAATAGTGTCTCCCAGGCCGTGTTCTAATCTCATAACACTGAAGACCTGTTGTCATGCATATTCAAAATGTAAATAGTGTACTAGGTGAGACAAAGGCCATTTAAAGAAGTCGTCTGGAAAGCAAAGTAAAGGGTAAGATGTTAAAAGCGCAGCGCAGGGCATTGTACCCGAAGACTATAAAATGTATTGAAGAACAAAAAATATTGTAAATGCGATATCAAAGTAAATATAAGTAGTTCAAGAGGACCTGGAATGTGTAATCAAACGTACAAAGTAACACCGGTTACCTTCTGTCTGATATTTTAAACCTTTCCTAAGTACCTTTCCTAAACGACACAATGTTAAATAATTGGGGAATAGGAACGGTCAAAAGTCACAAGTACGAACCCTAACGTTTATCGTCCTTAACAGATTAGGAAACGGTACTTGAGGATATAGAAGACTGTAACAGCAAGTCGTAATACAACTCTCAATAAAAATTAAATCATATAATTTTAAGTACATGTGAAGAAGATGCTCTCTCTCTCTCTCTCTCTCTCTCTCTCTCTCTCTCTCTGGGACGAAAAACAGAAATTATCAATAAGTGACAGAAACGGTCACAACTCAAAGACCCTTTCTCGTGCAGGTCAGCCATGATAGTGCGACACATTTACCAACCAAACTAGAGTATAACTGAGGATGTAAAGAGAGCTGGAAGACACTGACTGATTAACGAATTCAAAATAGATGTTTGTGATTCTGAGACACTGCCAAGTTTGAACTAAATCAGCCCAGGTATTTTTTCTATCAAGTGGAAAATGACGAAACTGCCACAATATGAAGAGAATCGGTTTAGTGTATCATCTGAAATACAACACTACAGTCCCTTGATCAATGTCTATGAACATGAACACTTCTGAAAACACACGTCCAGGTGGTAACGACACAGTAAAACAACACAATGAACCAAATTGAAAAAGAAAGTTTGTAAATGAACGGCAGAGATATAAATAAGGCAAAGCTATGAAAACGGATTCTTCAATAATAAATAAGTACTCAGTGTCAAATTTTCCGAAACGCATTAATTCTTATTATGTAATGTAATGACGGGCAGACTTCCTTATACATTGTTCATCAATTTCTATAAAACTTGTGATTCATAAGAAAGAAGCGAATGAACACGTGAGGGAACTTCATGGGTTTCCGCCAAGAGCTCAGGGGGTGTTGACTCTCCGCCGACCCACAGCCCGCGGGCTCTTGAGTGTGCCAAGGTCGCCATCTCCTACCATACCACCATCACCCACACGACGCCTCCTCCTCACCCACACACATCCTACCCACACGTCCACCAGGAACAAAGCGTCATTCATACAAAGAGACAATGTGAAAACACACACACACACACACAACAACAACAACGAAAGAAGTGGAAAACAGACGATGAGCATCAATAAACCATTTAGTCCTGCAATCTTAAGAAACTTATCCTAAGTATCAACATCTCTCATTTTAGTAGCCATCATAATATTATATCGCCCTTCTGCAGCTCCTGGTCGCCCCATAGTATATTTAGACATCACAGCAGAGGAGTAATCTAGTTACCTTGATACCAATTAAAAGGGAAGTGGGATTTAAACTGTGAGAGAATATTGAAAACATTTAGCACTTGGTGGAAGATATAATTAGTATTGATTTATATTTTATCTTTATAATTCCCACCTTCATTGTCCAGTGTTGGTTTAAAAGAACAGGTTTATCACCGTCTGGCAAGGTGTTTGTATTGGCATTAATTATCAAATACGTACGAATTTCCGTAGTTTTATTTCATCTTTTGTTTTAATTTTATTCTTTCTTTCCACATTATTCTTCTATTTGTACAACTGTAAATAATTATACTTTTCTTCGTATCTAATCGAGTTTTCTCAAAATTATCACGAACGTTAAAAACTTATTATATAAGAAACTACTAATTGTCAAAAAGAATTTAAAGAAAAAATCACATACAGCAACATTATTTACCTCTAGTCAAGTTTATATCAATATAAATGACAAGTTGAAGGAAGGAACGACCGGTATCCGACGTTCACTTAGTTCCCCATCACCAGTAATAAGTTTTCTTTAAATGCCGGAAGTGTACATTAGAGGGGTGACTAAGTCTTTTGCACGAGCCCTTCTTAAGAAAACGAGCTCTAATTGTAATTTCATAACAAATTTGTCGTTTCAACGCTTACCAACTCACCAGCAGTTCGGGTGGTTGGTCTCTTCTCGGATACTGTCCAATGTTAGTTTATTAAATCTTTACTGGTCTTCTCTATTTACTTGATATTTGACCTGGTCTTCCATCAACATAATATAAAATCTTAAAGAATTTGGATATATAACTGCCCATTGAACAGAACAACAACAATGTCTAAATACAGAAACTAGAAATCGTCTTGACCTTAAAAACAGAAAAATAAACAAGCCATTTCCATAAAAAAATAAAAAAAAACCCTTTCTGTCCCACGAACATGTAAAAACTTTAAAAGTGTCTCAAGAATATAAGACAACACCAAAACACGCCCCAAGATGTACACCCACCAGACAGGAAATGGCTGGAGGACTTCACAGGTAAACAATTCCGCTGAACATTCAAGATTGGAGCCTAAGAAAACACTCAGCAACGAGGAAAAGAGCACAGGAGGAACACTTACCTGGGTGTCGTATCTCATGGGTGTCCGGGTCGATACTCTTCTCCTTACAGACCATAGAGAGCACGTCGGAGATCAGTGTCTTGGTGGGCACACGCAACACAGTCAGCTGATTATGAGGCAGGTTCACCTGTACCACACACACACCAGAACAAACCTATTAGTATATACCTTACCTTTACCATATATTCACACATTGGATACTTAAATTATGAATAACTCACTAAATAATCAACCATATATGCCTAAAATAAATTCCTTTTCACGGTAAAAAGGATATGCAGTTTAGTAACCCATTATGAGTTTGTTTAATATAAATAAAAGTTGTTGGTTTTTAACTTATTATAAATGTTATATCTGATGCCCACAGTATCTGAACATCTGTAAGTAAAAGTGAGTGTTTTTATATATGTTATTTTTGTTTATGTGGTGTGTGTGTGTGTGTGTGTGTGTGTGTATATGTGTGTGTGTGTGTGTGTGCGTGTATGTATATGTGTGTGTGTGTGTGTGTATGTGTGTGTGTGTGTATGTGTGCGTGTGTATGTGTGTGCGTGTGTGTGTGTGTGTGTGCGTATATATATATATATATATATATATATATATATATATATATATATATATATATATATATATATATATATGTGTGTGTGTGTGTATGTGTGCGTGTGTATGTGTATATGTGTGTATGTGTGTCACAATCTAATTTTCTAGTTATAAATACCCGAATGAGTTAGAAAATTAGTACGTTGTTATGAAAGTCTCAGAACATGCAGGAGTGTGTGTGAGTGTGTGTCATGCAGGTACACGTGTGTTGGTATTTACCACGAGCTGCTGTCTGAAGACGTACTCCTCAGGCTGCCGTGAGCGGGGAGAGAAACACTCATTGAACAAAACACTCACCATCAACCACAGTACTACTATTATTCTTGCAGCTGACTCACAAACATTATATACAGTAGAAATAATCACATTTTCTTTTATGTATACTACAACTACTACATATTTTGTTTGTTAATTAGTATTATGTACTTCAACAATGTTAAAAGGTTGTATCTGTATGTGCAGTATATTATTTTCTCAAACAAAATACCATTGTTGTGAAGTATGATGACTGTCTTAATGAGGACGAGACGCGTGGTGGTAGCAGCTGAGAGCGAAGGATTAATGTTCGCTTCCTGAATGTACCGTATATTAAAAAGCCAGTAGTAAATAAGGACATTTGATTGAGTTACAAGTCCTTTTAACCCAGGAACTATACAATATGATACATTTGTTAATTTCTCCCGAGTTATAGAGTTGTGTCCCCTGGAACATGTGGTGGTCTACAAGTGCTCTCTGGAGATCAGTTGTGTGGTGGACACGGTGACTGATGTTTATCTTGCTTGGCATTCCCCTGCTGGAGGCACTCAGGGTCTCACCCCGCCAGACTCAACACCATTATTTACCTGAACTAGTTTTTGCTGGTGGCGACGTTACGCGCATACCACCACAACCATAAAAATGACAACATTGACACAGACTGAGTGTATCAAGTTTACATTTATAGACGAGGTTCGTGCAGAAATTCCGGACCAGCACATTGTTGCTAGTAACACTTCTCGCTCACCTACATTGACAGTAACTTTTTATCCACACTCGGCGGGGCCACGAAAACATGCACCAAGTTGAAACAATTATTTGATATGATAACATTACTGAACGAGCAGAGCAGGTGATGAGTTCCAGCCTCACCCTGCAGTGTGTACAAACGTAATGATTCATTGGGTTCAGTAGACCTCCTCTGGCTACACCGTGAACGAAATATTAGTATGTGGTGTTCTCGTCCTATACACTTTGTTATGCAAGACTTCCGGGAGTGTGTAGGATATAAGAGTACTCGAGTGGTCGTGATGGAGGCCACCTTTTAAAACAACAAAAGTTAACAATTAAAAACGTCATCGATTTAACTTTATCCTGGGAATTGCACACAAGAGAGCAAGAAGTACACCAGAGGCTTAAGTACAACAGGGATTTGGTCAATTAACCCGATTAAATTCCCGTCTCAACCTGCATTGTCAACACGAGTGCCCCGGGGAACTCGTCAGCTGTATCCAATCCACCCAATTACTCGTCATGGTCGAGTCCAATCTAAATTCAAGAGCACAGAACACACACACTCTTCTGATGTTTTATTATACAAGAAACACAACATCAGGCAGGTGAGTCAGCCAGTTGGACACACGTGCCGGGTGATGCAGCAGTCCAGGCACTGTAATAAGGGGATGTTGCGGTGTGTGACGACCTTCAACACTCGCAACTATACTCCCATAAGCCCAAGCCAAGAGGACCCAACCGTAACCTTCATATAAGGTTATCTTGAACGTCACTGACGGCCAGACACACCACCAGGCCGAGGGCGCCCCTTTGCACACCTTAGGCGCAACCCATTTACCATGACCCCTAAGAGAAGCTTTATACCCTCCACTCATATCAGGAAGCCTCGTGACATCCTAGGTAACCCCGTGACCTCTAATGTAGCCCCGTGACCTCAAATGTAGCCTCGTTATTTGCTGGGTGTTCGTAACCCCTGAGGACCCCGTGACCTGATGATGGGGAGAGAAGTGAATCCGAGTGAAATGATCTGAAACAATATATCCAGCGAGAGATCAGCTCCCAGCCTTACCTTGAGTCTGATGTTCCTCTCGATGGCCTGTGTTACGAGATGCGCCCGCCTCTTCCTCGCTTCCTCGTTCACCTTGTTCTTGGCTACGATCTGGATGACGCTGGTGTCCAAAGTCCCTATCAACACGAGAACAAACATGTCATTATTGTCTCACCAGTTACTCCAACACTGGGTTTGGTACTCTTACATTGGTAAATACTGATACTACAACAGGTACTACCGCATTTGGTACTTTTAACCTACCTTGCTTGATTTCTTGTCACTCCACCAATATCAAGTATTTCTTTATTTGCCAACAATTATGTACTACTTCTTGGTTTTACAACACCTCTCGTTATTCCAACACTGGCAAACACCTTCAAGTACACGAAACACTTCCAATGGGGCGATTCTAGCCTTAGTTACTGAAACCACTTCCAATATCCGAACCCCTAACATAACACAATCAACACTCCAGCAGTATTCAACACAGGTCAGTACTCCCACTTACCCCAACACTGAGTTAAGTAATGGTACTCCTACACTGGTGAGAAGCTCTTGATATTACACCACTACCGAGCACCACTTAGTACACTCAGTCTCACTACGGTAACACTGTAAGGGTGAGGTCCTTCAAGTGAGCACTGGTGAAGTAGTAGGTGGAGGAGCACCCACTCTCACACTCCTCTCCCAAGACTTCTTGACGCTACACTTACTGCCTGACTTGACACTCTTATCTATTTATCTATCTATCAACTTTACCCCTCCCTACTTTAGTGAGTATAGAGGCGGAACAAGACGAACAGAAACCTCAATAAGGAGAAGAAATAACAGGAGAGTGGTACAAGAATGGTTGTACAAAGAGACAGCAAAGGGCTATGAAAACCAACCAATATCAACACACTCCTGTCTCGACCATCACCCAGGCCACAGTCGACGGGCTTGACTCAGGACCAGCCAGATGAAACACAGTAATAGAGTTGCCTGTGAAAAAGTTATCGGTCTGAGTCTATCGTGTTGTGTGGAGTGCCGGTGTTACTTTAAGGACAATACTATCGTTTATTTTTATCGGTTCTTTTAGCTAAGATATATGTGACTTCAACACCAACACGGGCAGGTGAATCTTTCCTTCCTCTCTTAGCTACGTGGAAAACGTCACACTAATATAACACACACACACACACACACACACACACACACACACACACACACACACACACACACACACACACACACACACACACACACACACACACACACACACACACACACACACACACACACACACACCACACACACACACACACACACACACACACACACACACACACACACACACACACACACCACACACACACACACACACACACACACACACACACACACACACACACACACACACACACACACACACACACACACACACACACACACACACACACACACACACACACACACACACACACACACACACACACACACACACACACACACACACACACACACACACACACACACACACACACACACACACACACACACACACACACACACACACACACACACACATACACACACACAGTTACATTCATACATGCATACTGTACACAACATTTAAATTCTCAACCAACAAACATCACTCAAGAATCCGCTCGTGTAACTGACTAGACAGTTATTCCGGCTCCCAGAAGACTCTTGACACAATAACACGCTTCCTTCAAGAGGCAGAACAGCCTACAACCTGCATTGGTAGAACGCCGTCTCTCGACCCCTTCAGGAGAGCCGCCGTACAAGCCAACAAGGTAAGTCACATCCTTGGACCAGATACATAATATCTAAATCTGTTTTGACGTGATAATCAGTGAGGACACTCCCTGAGCCTCCAGCGGTAAACAAACCAGTTTTTGTGACGTATGTGTATGCCTGTTAAAGACTTAAGATAATTGAACTGACAATCTCACAAAGTACGTTCCTCTCCTCGTATTTGGGAAGGGAGGGTATTGAGGGCAGAGTCATTCAGTGCCTGACACAGCAAGTCTGGCACACAATCACCTGCCTCGTTTGAGACACGCCTCGTGCACCTGCCTTATATATATTTCCTCCATAAACAAAGACATTCACGACAGGGTAAAGTCTGTGTTTATGTTTTCTGACCGTGCGTGGGCCAGGTGTTCCCCTCCCTAGCCGCTCCTGTTGTTGTCCCGACGCCGCGACCTTCTCACAACACACGTCGCTGGAGGCACAGGTGACGCAGGACCACATCCAAACAGACCACAACAATAGACGACCACCACCATGACTCTGACGAAGCTGTTCCACCCCCACACCAACAACAGCAGCAGCACTCGGAGAATCGTAACCACAGCCATGAATAATTACAACAAGGGAACACTAGCAGGACCGGTAATGCCCCCGGGATGTTTTTACTGAATGCTCACACGAGTCCAACTGGCCTTGAGTGCATGTGTGGTGGAAGCTGAAGGTATCCCGACGGTGCTACGCCACACTGAGTAGGAGAATGAGGCGGCCTTGACTCACACCACCATTAAGTTTATAAATTTTTGGTATTCAGGAAATTCAAATTAAAAAATCATCAATATAAAGAAAAAACCAACACGAGGACTACTACAGGTTGAGCGTGAGGACATTTTAACTAACCTGATCCCATTTTTTGGAGAACCAATATGTAAGAAACAGTATACAGTACACAGTCAAGGTCAGGCCCACCACAAAGACTTGGGTTCAGTATGGGGAATTTTAACCCAAGTAATAATATATATTTTTCCATCACACCCAACCACATCAACAGTGAATGCAAAACAAGATGCAAGATGACGATGTTGACCATAAAGTTCACTCCTACAAGGTTACTCTCTCTCTCTCTCTCTCTCTCTCTCTCTCTCTCTCTCTCTCTCTCTCTCTCTCTCTCTCTGTGTGTGTGTGTGTCTAGATGTAAACAAACTGTACTCCCAATAACATGAATTAAGTACTGTATTACTAACACCTGTTTGTATACCTCACCATCTCACCCTCTCTCATCAACCTGGTTTATGTTTCATACTGCCTCTATCTCCCCAAACCACACCTACACTCACTTCTGGATCCGGCAAAAATCCCCCAAATCAGAATGAGAAAAAGAAAACACGACTCCCAAACTAACTAAAATTCACATCAAACGGCTAAGTATACAAGTCTCCCAAACGACAATTCAGAGTAAACGGATAACCTAGAGAGAGACATTATACAAATAAGTTACAAGGGCCTTGACAATGGGACGTATTTCACCAAGAATCTTCTCTCATCGTCATCTTAGGCGGGACAATACTGAGGATGACTTGTAGCCAGCCGTGAGGGTAGGGTTTGTGAAGAAGGGTGGCGCTCGTCATGGTGGTGGTGATGGTCATGGTCATGGTGGTGGTGATGGCGCTGGTCGTAGTGATGGTGGTGGTGCTGGTCGTGGTGATGGTGGTGGAGCTGGTCTTGGTGACGATGAAGCAGTAAGATACATTAAGGTGTGCTGGAGAGATAAAGGCGTTCTGTGCATTTAAAACGCCTTACAATAAACGCCTATAATTACATAACAACCTTCAAACACACCTGAATTATGGTACAGGTACAGTAATCGCTTTAGTTCAGGAGTCACACACACACACACACACGCACACTGTTTATATATCATTGTGTGTGTGGGGGGGGGGTTGAAGATGAGTATGAGATATGAGTGAGGGTGAGTGAGTATGAGGAGAAAGTGTAGTGAGGGTGAGAGAGTGTGAGGGAGGGCTGAGTGAGGTAGTGACCATCAGAGAGTGGGGTAAGGGGGGTGGGTGGCTGGATGACTCATCAACGGGTACAAACATTATTTAGACAAGATGGTAATCAAACCCTTCACCTGCGGGCGTACCCTTCACCACTGGTCGTACTCTTCACCACTGGCCGTACCCTTCACCACTGGTCATTACCCTTCACCACTGGTCGTACTCTTCACCACCTGGCCGTACCCTTCACCACTGGTCGTACTCTTCACCACTGGTCGTACCCTTCGCTTACTGGTCGTACTCTTCACCACTGGCGTACCCTTCACCACTGGTCGTACTCTTCACCACTGGCCGTACCCTTCACCACTGGCCGTTACCCTTCACCACCCTGGTCGTACCCGCTTCACCACTAATTAAATGCTCTTCACCACTGGTCATGCCACACTGGCCGTACCCTTCACCACTGGCCATGCCCTTCACCACTGGTCGTACTCTTCACCACTGGTGTGCTCTTTAGCCGTACCCTTCACCACTGGTCATTACCCTTACCCACTGGTCGTACTCTTCACCACTGATCGTACACTTCACCACTGGTCGTACTCTTCACCACTGGTCGTACTCTTCACCACTGGCGTACCCTTCACCACCTGGCGTACCCTTCACCTGGCCATCACTCTTCACCACTGATCGTGCCTTCACCACCAGTCATGCCCTTCACGCAGCCGTACACTTCCACACTGGTCGTACTCTTCACCGCAGTCATTTACCCTTCACCACTGGGTCGTACTCTTCACCACTGGTCGTACTCTTCACCACTGAGCCATGCCCTTCACCACTGGTCGTACCCTTCACCACTGGCCGTACCCTTCACCACCCCAGCCGTACCCTTCACCACTGGCATACCGCTTCACCGCTGGCCGTACCCTTCACACCACTAAGCCAAAAGCCCACCCTTCACCACTGGCCGTACCCTTCACCACTGGCCGTACTCTTCACCACTAGCGTACCCTTCACCACTGGCCGTACCCTTCACCACTGGCCGTACCCTTCACCACTGGCCGTACCCTTCACCACTGGCCGTACCCTTCACCACTGGCCGTACCCTTCACCACTGGCCGTACCCTTCACCACTGGTCGTACCCTTCACCACTGGCCGTACCCTTCACCACTGGTCGTACCCTTCACCACTGGCCGTACCCTTCACATGTAACTGTGCCGCCATCACCATTATCAAACTATCAAACCCTAGTCACGCAAACCCCTTTACATGTCTCAAAGGTTTGTGGCCACTGTACATATCATCATTATCATCATCGTCCTCATCATCATCGTCATACCCTTGCTCGTCATCTTCATCATTATCGTCCTCATCATTATTATCACCATCTTCATCATTATCGTCCTCACCCCATACTGGATAATATTGGCCTCCCACATTTGCTCTCTCAAAATCTCCTTTCCTAAGCCTTCCCTGTCCACTGAACACCGCCACCACTCCCTAATAAATGATCTGTCCATTGGGTAAGTAAATGATCTCCTTAAACTTTCTTTCCTTTAAGTCGTGGGAGGTCAATCAAGACGTCTATTTCAGATGTTGACATGTTCTTGTAATATGGCCAGTTTACTTCTTTCGACCTGGTAATATACAGCTCTCTCTCTCTCTCTCTCTCTCTCTCTCTCTCTCTCTCTCTCTCTCTCTCTCTCTCTCTCTCTCTCTCTCCCTCTCTCTCTCTCTCTCTCTCTCCCTCTCTCTCTCTCTCTCTCTCTCTCTCTCTCTCTCTCTCTCTCTCTCTCTCTCTCTGAATCTTGTGGCGTCTGGAGTGTGTCAGTACCGTTGGTTATCTCCTGGCGGAACAAAAGAAAGGCTGAAGGAGGAGGGAGTGAGGAAGCTAGGCAGCGTGTGGCACCTTGATTAACACCACCCTTCACCAAACAAGAACTTTCACCCACCAGCAACTCCATCCCTCGCCAACGTCTACCACCTTCACCACACTCACGCCTCCAGGTCCAGCACGTGCCTGCCTGCCTGCTGGCCACCACAAGCACTGCCCAATCATTCAAAACACACGTGACAGGACACAGGGGCTGGCGCAGGGTGCAGATGTTTAACCACAGGTACTGAGGTGTGTGAGTGTATCATCTCCACGGTCCACCTGTCTACTCTTTCCAAAGTTATCTGATGATGCTCAGATCTGGTTCTTGCTGGGTCCACACCTGGTTCTTGCAGCCTGGTAGACACTGTAGGTTATACTTGGTTCATCACCTATGATAAACGCAGCCAACTTCACTCACGCCACACAAACGTGTCACGACTTGCCTGTGTCTGTCCCAGCCTAGTTTTGAAAGGTCTTCAACCTCGTGCTCTCAGATCTTCATGCTGTACTAAACATAACGTACACAAACCTATTTTTTCAATATAAGTAATAAACACTAGACCTTCAACGATTTGAAAAGTTCTTCCATTCTTGTTAATAACAAAACAAATGAAAAAAATAAAAATAAACGCAGAACATTAAGGGGATACTGACCTATAGGCGTGGAAGGCTTGTAGGACAAAAGGCGGTTGTCGGACACTACATTAATGACGTGGCCACCAGGGTTGATTTTGTGGGCGGTGGTCACCTGAATCAACAGGTCCGCCATAGATTGTGCTGTAACTACACAAACACAAAGGCATTAAAATATGCACTGATATTACATGATTACTGGCACGATGCACCAACCAACAATTGAATTTATATGTATTGAAAAACATCACCTGAAGTATAGCCCAACACTAAACTAACCATACACTGTTAGCACAAACACCTGCAAGCGGTCCATCATGGGTGTGTTGCAATACATTAATATACAGTACACATAGAGAAAGGACAAACATTTTGCCACCGGCTTCTGAACACCATCCTGGGCCAACTGCGACATACAACAGGACGGTTATAAACAACAACTGAAGGACTTAATGTTCTGAAGAATCGTTATTAAGAGTACCGTGAAAACATTATTAACAAAGCAAACTCTTATGTATTTTGTTAAAAACTGTTAATAAGACACCACGATAAATAAAATATGGCATTAAGATATAAACAAACAACAATGTAATTATATAAAGCCATTGAGAGAGAAGCTGTGGCATGAGTCATATACAAAAACTGGGTCAAGTTGACAAGACAAAACATCATTGTTAAGGCAGGGCAGAAAAATGTGAGAGAATGAAGAGAATGTGATGGCAAAATATAACTTTACTGATGTGATGGCTTAGAACAACTCTCCAGTAAGCCAGACAGACAGTCCAAGTGTTAGTGCTGTCATCCGCCACTGACTTCTGCAGAATCTGTCCGGAGGTTTAATAATAATATAACTGCAGTCATGGTTGTCGGCGATATAAATGTACGACACTAATGGCATGTCTATTAACACCAGCAAGAGTCGTACACACCAGGACCACCGTACCTACTGCCGAAGATGACCAGAAGGTCCTCAAAATCATCACAACGCTACTAGAATCACTGTAGCTACTAGGGCCAGTGTTCTTCCAGTATCTTCGCACCACCAATATAACCTGGACCAGGGAAGTACAGGCAGGGTTTTCCGGCGTCAGGTCACGACTTTTCCTCAACACGCAATGTTTATCATTTCGTAAAAGCTGAATCATATGCGGGTCTCCTGGCTCACTACTTGAGGTGTTACTTGATCTTTCTAAGTTAATAGATTTCAGTGTGTATCTAAATTCAGAACCTCTACCATCTGGTTACCGCTGCACATGTACTTGCGCATCTTAGCTCGTGCTGTTTCGCAATATTTTTGTTAGTTTCTCAGTAATTTTTTCAATCTAAACTATTTCATTGGAGTAAATAAATTTACCAGTGCAACATGGCCCTCTTGTCATTAAGCAAGACAAAACTAATGTGTTAAACAAAACTGTGCGTGTGTGTGTGTGTGTGTGTGTGTGTAAATCGTGAAGGCAAAAAAAAATACAATTAGCATCAGAAATCTGGTGTTCGACGAGCAGCCATTCCAATAACTCTTAAATCACTTCCCATCACGATGACAATGCCCGTTACCACCACACACCATAATAACATTAACCACGTGATGGCAACACCGGGGTCCACCATGACTCCACGAGGTCTTGCAGAATGTGAGTTAATTACAAGTGCTGGTCCACGCTGGCCAGCCTGCAGACTCAGTAGCCTCACCCGATATACTCCACCACAGAGAGGCTACCCTAATCTAAGATGGGCACTACGATAGTATCCTCGTCGGTTTGTTTTCATCAGCTAAATGGAATGTGTTCTCTTCTCGGTAAGGTGATCCTTCCCCCGAGGTGAACTGATACACTGATGTCATGGCTGTAAGGTATCCTGAGGCAAATTGAGTATAATACACCGTTTGTTAAGAGTGACATCAATACATTGTTCTGTTGTTGTTTGGTGGATTATTATCAACGTCAACTTGTCAGACAAGTGGGAAAAGTTATAACACCACACGAGCCGAGACTAGAATAAAAAGAACTATAGGTATTAAAATTAGTTCAACGCAATTAACTATGTATAATATATTCATCTTAAATGGTTGTCAGCTGTAACTCCCGTCTCAATCTTCCTTGTGATTCCTCCGCGTCATCTTGAGTAGTAAATTATCTGATGATTCCCATATATAAGAATCCACTTTTATACCCTAATGGATTCTAAATGCACGTAACTATGACCACTTGGGGATTAAGAACACAATGGAGATAACAAAGTGACCTATTTGAACATCGAGGACCCAAGCCAAGTCACGTTCAAAGGCTCTAAAATTACACACTGACTTGGCGTCCATGGGTGACTGAAGAAAGTGACTTTATTTTGTTTACAGCGCCAGATGTCTTGTACACTTTTTATAAAACTATTACAACAGTGAGAGTAGACATTGCTCAGATATAAAAAGGATATGTTCTTACAAAACGAAAATAATTGTCTGGTAAAAAGTAGCCAACTGTATTTACACGTTCGTATTGGTTGACTGAAAACCACTCCAGTTCGCCTCGTGTACAGTGAACGACAGCCTGATTAATGTAGGCAAGACTAAGCCTAAATATTATCTTCGAAAAAATGAGGATTACATGAAGATTAGGCACCCTAGCTTCTATAAAGATTAATACGCTAACCTAACCTCCACTCTCCTCAGGCAGCGTTAGGGTGGTTAAACTTCAGGAGAAATAAGTTGGGGTGCCTAATCTACATGTGGTCTGATAAACAAAGGGAGACATGGCAGCAACGATATAATTGTAAAGTCACTCAGACAACAGTGAGACTATAGAGTTTAATCTCTCCTAACACTTAATTGTTGATGGACTAGTGCAGGGGTCACCAAACTTTTTTCACAGTGGGCCGGATAACTGAAAGAATGACGAGCGCGGGCCGCATAATCATTCTGTTCAATACTTGCAAGCCAGAACGAAAGCTCTGGGAAAAAAGACGAAAAACTAAGTTTAGCATTCCATGTTAATCATGGGTGAGTGGCGTGCAATGCACAAAAAACAAAGGCAACCAACATATTTATTTACTAAAAAGTTATCAAAGAAGGCGACGTTAGCAAAAAGATAGTTACATCAGACCTAGTGTGCACATATCCGAATCTCACAAACTAAGCAGCAAAAAAGGTTAGTGAGATTTGTGAAACTGACGTTTGGCTTTCAAGATATCATCAATGTTTGGTTTGGAATTGCTGCATCCAATCAAGAGAATTGCTTTCAAATGTTCATCAGTCGTGTTCCATACGTTTTATCAAGCAAATTCAAGTACCGTCGGCGGGCCTGATGAACTGACGTCGCGGGCCGGATCCGGCCCGCGGGCCATAGTTTGGTGACCCCTGGACTAGTGTAATCACTAACCTTGTTACGCGCTTATAGATAAACCTTAAGATATTGAAACGCTATAAAAATATAAGCATTATAAAGTCAACGAGACCCCCACATTGTTTTCAATTTTTAAGAGAATTTATGGGAGTTAGAAAATGCATACTGTATTTATCTAATGTTATGAACTCATACATAGCAAGAGCAAACAATATATTTTGTATTATTATTATTGGTGGCGGTTTAATCAATAATCCAACCTACAATTTTAGTAAGCAAACACCCGCCACAAACATAAGGTCAGCGTGAAATTCCCGAGGTTGTTGATACGAGTGTTTTCACCCCCGCCCGTCCTATAGCTGTGTAATCCAACACGTCAAGGTCAACCTTATTGTTGAGAAAAACTACATGAGTATCCTATCACACTGTTGCTCGCCTGCCGGTGACTCGACCCGTTGTAACTGGAGACGTCGTTTATCAGCCGCAGCCACCCGGATGATAAACAGCAGTAAGACATGGTACAGGTACCCTTAATAATCCCAGCCGAGGTGTATAAGGCAGGAGGACCTCTGCTTACCAGCCGTCTCCACTCTTTCCTGGAGAATATATGGGAAAAGGAGGAAATCCCCCAAGCTCTTAAAGGCGCCTCCATTGTCAATATTTATAAGAACAAGGGAGACAGGTCAGACTGTGGCAACTACCGTGGGATCTCGCTGCTCTCCGTAGCTGGCAAAATTATCGCCCGAGTCCTCTTGATCAGACTTCTTCCTGAGGTGGAAAACTTCCTTCCAGAATCTCAATGTGGCTTTAGACCATCACGTGGCACCACTGACATGATCTTTGCTGCCCGCCAGATACATGAAAAGTGCAAAGAACAGTTTCGTGACCTGTACATGGCCTTCATCGACCTAACCAAGGCCTTCGACTCGGTCAACAGGGAAACCCTCTGGTGGACCCTTAGTAGTTTTGGCTGCCCACCAAAATCCATCGCCATTGTGAGGCAACTCCACGATGGCATGAACGGCAGTGTCCTGCCTAACGGCACCCAGTCTGAGTTCTTCCCCATCCAAACGGGGGTTAAACATGGGTGTGTAATGGCACCAACTCCCTTTTCCATTTTCTTGGGGCCTTCCTTACTCGTGCCAGTGCCAATTTAGCCGGCGGGGAGGACATCGAGTACCGGATGAAGGGTCTTTTCAACATATTTAAAACGTCTCTAGGCAAGAACAAAGGTGTCGGCAGCTTCCATTACAGAATTTCAGTATGCAGGCGACCTCACCCTTGTTGCTAACACTGAACACGACCTACAGGAAATCCTGAACACCTACGCAGATGCGTATGCACACTTCGGCCTTGAGGTGAATGTACTTAAGACTCAGATTCGCTTTCAACCTGCCCCTGGTTCCGACACACCTCCACCAACTATCCAGCTTAACGGTACTACCCTCTCTAATGTTACCCACTTTCGGTATCTCGGCTCCCACCTGTCCACCACCGCCAACATCGATAGAGATTCACGCCCATATTATTAAACATCTTCCCTTGAAGAGGGTCGTCGTGTTTCAACCCGAGTTTTAAACTAAATGAGTCCTGAGGGACACCGCAGTGCAGTACAGTACTTAACGGGGTGGTGTGGCGGTAAAATTAATTAATTCCAATCAAATTAGTTTATAATATTGGAACAAGTTAATTTTACCGCCACACCACCCCGTTAAGTACTGTACTGCGGTGTCCCTCAGGACTCATTTAGTTTAAAACTCGGGTTGAAACACGACGACCCTCTTCAAGGGAAGATGCTGTTTAATAATACGGGCGTCAGCATCGGATCAGGTGTGCATCTCAAGCCTTTGGTAGACTCCGAAATCGTGTCTTCAGCTGCAGGGAGCTGAAATTATCTACAAAGTGACACGTATATCGAGCAGTGATCTTCCCCACCCTGCTATATGGTAGTGAGACATGTGTCACATACAGGAGGCACCTCAAGGCACTTGAAAACTTTTACCAACGTAGTCTACGTTCCATCCTCCGTGTTCGTTGGAAGGCAAGAGAACAAATGCCAGTATTCTTGTTGACACCAACTGTAGGAGCATCAAGGTTACCATTATCCATGAACTACTACGCTGAACTGGCCATGTTACCCGCAAGGACGACAGTAGACTGCCAAAGCAGCTACTTTACAGTCACCTAACGAATAGTAAACGTAACGCCGGCGGGCAACTGAAAAGGTATAAGGATAGTCTTAAGACAAATGTGAAAAAGTGCCAAATCGACCCCCTCACCTGGGAGTCGATTACTCCACATCGTAACGCTTGGAGGAGCACCACACGAGATGTGAATACTTTCGAGTTAGCCCGACTGTAAACCGAGGCAGACAAGCGCCAACGCCAGAAAGACGCTGCCACCGCCCCTCCCGCAGTAGATGTAGCCCTCCACAAGTGCAACTCATGTGAACGACTCTGCCGGACCCGTATGGCCTCTCTAGTCACCTCAAAATTCACCAATGAAGGTGGCATCCCTAAGAACTCATATCATTGTATCACAGCTGGATGATTGTCATAATCGATTCCGAGTGACAGCAAAGTAGTAGTAATAATAATAATAATAATGATAATAATAATGATAATAATAATAATAATAATAATAATAATAATAATAATAATAATAATTTTACTCAGAAATACACCCATTTATGGTTACCAAACGTATTAAGTTCCGACCAACAGCTGCCGTAACATACTACTAAGTCTTAGTTTTCACCTACATCTTCATTTTTATTTTAAACAATGTAATACTGAGAAAATGCCACGTTACTGTAGACAGGCCGATAATAAACACCAAGTTAACTCTGATAGTATCGGTATCAAAACAGTGGCTAGCTAGTGGGTGCGTGCTGGGGCGGGTTATACAACAATTTATAAAAACTGGTGACTGACTGGGGTGGGTGTTTCTCCTTCTGTTATCGGGATCCATCATTACTTCCCCCGCCTGATGCTCACGATACACCCGGAGGAGTGACTGACGACTTGTGTTAAGTTCGACACTACAGTAGACTTTGTGGTTACTAGGTACTGTTATTTTTAATCACTAACAACAATATACAAAGAAATTCACCATCATGTAAACATTTATATAGAAACAATAATACTAGTACTGTGATTCCCACCAACTATCAAAACACTGTGGCATCGACCTGTGACTAGGATTGTTTTTGTTTTTACTTTAATTTGTCTTTATATGTTAGTTCAGAATCAATATTAACCTCCGGAAAACACCGAGAAGATGCCGGACAAATAACACAACCAAGGCAGCAGATAAAAATACCATGTAGATACTAACGAGAAAAAAAAAGTTACACGGACAAAAACTCACTGGTTAGGGTTGGGTTGGGTTGGGTTGGGTTGGGTTGGGTTGGGTTAGCGTTACGTTAGGTCCGGTGAGTTTCTGTCCTCATTGAAAATAAGGTTAAAAGACATTATGTTGAAGATGTTACATACTGTACATGAAAATACAGTAAGTCGGCATAGACTGGTGGGTGTGTGTATACTGACCTTCTGTGTACGGCCATATTGACCCTGTGGCCGATGGGGAGGATGACGGTGAGGTCCATGGTGCCCTCCAGTAGGTCGGCTGGCGTGTCCTCAGTCACATGACGCGAGGACATGGCCGACGTGGAGGCGAAGTGTCTCAGCGGTGGCGGAGCCATGATGCGGTCCGCCCACGACACCCTGTAATAAAAACGCAAGAATCTGAAGTTAGTATCACTTGTTTACAAACTGTGAGGTACTGAACTCCAACACTGTACAGTACATAGAGAGGTCTGACAGTACCTAGCATTATTGACGTTAAGACAGTAGCCAGCATTAATGAGTGAGTGACATAGACGAAAACTACCACGACACAGCGAGCACCATATTCAACACAGGTTCATATTTCGATTTAGAAAGTTTTCTCAGGAATATCAACTTACTTTACTTGATTAAACAACCTAACTCTACCTTGGAGAGGGTTGGATTAGGTTAGCATTAGGATGGTTAATCTTAAAATAAGCAGGGTGGTTAACCTTTAGGTCATAAACACCCTGTAACCTGTACACAGCGGCACAACATTCACGTGGCGTTATGGGTAAAGGCTGGTGCTACTTCTCTATAAAAAAGAAAAAGAAAAAAAAAGGTGTAGTTGGGCAGGTTATGATTCCAGAGTCGTGTGTGTGTGTGTGTTTGGTAGGACGTACTCCAGTGTCAAATAAACTCAGCCAATATCCAGGGAACTTATTTCTAATTAATAATTCAACGAGTTACAAGTAATGATCTGATCTCTCCCGTTGATTGGTCAAGTTCGTTGACCCACAACAACACAGTCAACAGAAGATAGTTCAGTCGCCTGCACATTTACCTGGTACAGTACAGTGACCGACGCGTTTTGTAAGGTGTGGCATCTCTGTTGAAGGTTCATCTAGCATCCTTAGTCTGGCTACTATGGTATGGTTCCTCAGGGTCATTCGGAGAGTTTTAATACGATGTAAACAAACACTGGTGTCACATCTCACAAAATGCACTAACCACTGTACCAGGTATAAGTGCAGGCGACCGTTCACAAGACTTATTTATTACACTAAACAACACTTAATAATAAAAACAGTATATTGTCTCGAGTATTTTCACTATTGTGATAATTATAATGTACCACAACGCTTTAGCACCAGAGGTTTTTAAGAGCTTACTCACAATTTACATCAACTACTGTAGCTATAATTACAACATGTCTCTCTCTCTGGTAATGGTTTAGCTTTGTTTATTAGTTTTTAATGTGCTTCAACCACACACGAGACAACAAGTATTAAAAATTTAGGAAAAAGTTCTTTCTTATTTTAGTTATTGTTGTTGTTATAATGTATTACTACACCACACTAATTAAGGTCTTTAATCACGTGCTCTAGTTTAGTAAATACAATAGTTTCCAAAAGAGTGATTCATAAAACTAGTAGCCAGAGTGCGTACATCAGGGATGTGTCCGCCAGCCGGGTCACGTGACACCGCTCGTGTGTCGGCCGGGAGGAACTGACGCTTGTGAGGTAATGTCTGCAACACACGGCCAAGGTCCTTTCTATGAAGTCATCAATCTGTGATCACTTGTTACATAATTTCATGCTTCCTTTTTTTTCCTACATGTCTTGCAAGGAAGGATGAAGAACTTTTCACAACTCAACATCTGCCGTCACGACTAAGCTTACCCAACCTCTTACGTAAATTTCTTCGGTCTATCTTTAGCAAAAAAAACAAAAAACAAGTCATTGGTAATATTTTCCTGTATACAATAATATCGAAATATCAAATTTATGTTTACAGATTTAACAAAACTAACATACAGACTATAAATGAAACCTAAATTCCCCTATATCACCAAAGCCCACACACCTATTTCAATCGAACACTACTTACACGTCCCTTACATGATCCCAACACGACTATAAAAAAGTTCAGTCAATATACAGTATATCAACAAATTCCTGACACCAAATAGGAAAAAAAAATACTAAATTATTAAAAAATCCCTCAAATGTTACTCAGAATAGGTAGAGTGGAGGGGGGAAGTAATACACTAAGCTTATGGCTAAACTACGTACACACAGACCCAAGAGGAGTGACGTGAAGAGGCTTAAGAACCACCATGGTCTTGTTACCAGCCAGCACAACAAGAGTTACATCACAGCTGAAGATCCAATAAGATAAGACTCGGTCAGGTTACATGTGCATCGCTGGATTCATGCACGACCGACGGCCTTGACAAGCGCTGTGACATATCAATCATAGAAACACCACGAAATTTCCTAACTAACGAACGAGCTAACTAACGAACGAACGAGCTAACTAACGAACGAACGAACTAACTGACTAACTTTGCATCTCAAGCACAGAACCAACACTAAATTTCTCCCTAACTCCTTCAGTTGTTACACACTTTTTAACACCCATAAGTGAACATATCTACTTAAACCGAAAAAGAACAGGGCTATAGGATCAGATGAAGATTAGACACCCTAACTTATTTCACCCTAACCTAACAGAATCTAATCTAACACCCAAGTAAAGTTACGGAGTTTAAACCCCTTGTGTACGGGGGTCTCTCTGTGCTGAACAACATCGTCTGGTATTGGCCAATTAGAATATTAAAAATGGCGTCCTCGTACTGAAGGGGTTAATTAACAGGTGACATAAGCTACGGGGAGGGGAGCTAATCTTCATGTGATCCATTATTCCTTCTTTCTTTTAGTGGGGGTAATTTATTAATGATGTAGTACAATTATAAATACACCTTCGCAAATTCTCGGTCAAGTCAAGTTAGTCATGAAATGGTGGTTCTTGACATTTGACACTGTGACTTTCCCTTAAAAAAGTATATTATCTCGAATGGTGATAATGTCGTTTAGATGCAATTTTTCAAGACAAATGTTTCTCAGTCGTGGCGGTCCTCCTCCTCCTGTCCGCCCCTAGTATTGGCTTTCATGGGAGGGGGGTCGTTTTTACTCCCCCTCCTCCCCTGGCAGTGTATATGGCTGTTGGGATTTGTGCCGTATAGGAATTAATTTCTTTAAACTACCTGTATCAGATTTTTTAAATATTCCTAATTAGAATTTTCCTGTCATTTGGATAACTCCTCTAACTGGTTAAGCTAAAACACAAATATCACATCCCAAAATGGTTTAAAATCTCCATGAAAACTCTATACAGTAACTAGGAACGCCCTCATAACACACACCGCGGTTGATTAAGGAAGCCAATTGGAAGAAAGTTAATTTGTTTCCTCATGAAGGCTTCCAATAGACTGTTCGTGACGTATCTTTTATTTTCCCTCAGAGCAGATGGGAGAGTCTCGGACCCTCAATGTTTACACAACTATCACCCAGCCAATTGTTCTAACTTCTTTTTTAACTAGGATTCGTTTACACATTTCTTCACCTTGCCTGTAACGCCATTACGGAATTATCTTAAAAGAATCTACGTAAAGTAAAAACCTTCTCCTCTATTACTGTAAAATATAACTACTACAATACTTTTATCTGTAATTAAGTGTCGCTCGCAGGTGGGATATATTTTTACGTCAGTCCAGATCCGAACACTGCCTCTTTTTGCGATTCATCTGTATCACAAACCTTATATGAGAAATTCACAAGACAGCAATATGGATTTCTTGGTCACTTGTGGATTTTTACCATCTTAGAATACACGTTTAATGCCCTATTAATTCTTGGGACTTCAGTAATACATTATCTGGGGAATAATTGATTTTCTAAAAGGCAACGATTGGTCTGTTAATCTTGAAAATGAGATCACGTGAGGACCATATTCCTGCCCTACACTGATCTCTGACACCTTGATTATGATCGGACTGGCATGAGGTTCCCGCTACCAGATCTTTTAACCCCTGGTGAATGTTTTGTTTACACGTGTCAAAGGAAAAGGAATTATACACTTAATGATATTCAACGGCAGTTTTTCCTTGTCTTTACAAACGTTTACTCCCGTCGAAAATTAAGATTGGGCAATAATATGAGCTTTCGCCACACACACACACACACACACACCTGGAAGGACTCTGTTTCAAGCAAGTCAAACGTGGCCTTCCGGTGTCGGGCAAGTAGGCGCGGAATAACCGTGTGGGTAAAACATAACAGTCACTCAAACACCTACTGTATATCAAGTCACACTGGGAACAAAAATGAAGCCCTTATATCAGGCCACACTACAAATGAAGCCTCAACGCCACTTCAAATGAAGCTTCAACACCAACAAAATGAAGCCTTAACACCAGCTCACCCCAATAAAGCCTAACACCAACCCAAATGAAGCCTCAACACCAACCCAAATGAAGCCTCAACACCAACAAAATGAAGCCTCAACTCAAACTGGAATGAAGCCTAAAGTGAAGCCCCTCAGGCAGTCACGTATAGTCATGTCGTGCCAAGTGTCTATTGAGCTCACAACTGGCTTAATGAAGGCTCAGAACACACACACACACACACACACCAAGAAAAGCCTCCCTCGCAGCAGTTCAAATCCCTCAATGAGTACAGACATAACCACACCTACGAAATAATCTCTCATGACTACTAAAACACAATCACGATTTTTATTTATTTATTTATTTATTTATTTATTTATTTATTTTTTATTTGTTTGTTTTGTATCTCCCGCAGTGTAAAGAAGCAGTCGTCTCTGTCTGTCTGTCTGTCTAGGTGTCTGTCTGTCTGTCTAGGTGTCTGTCTGTCTGTCTGTCTTTTGATAGTCTGTAGGAAAAAATCACATGGGTTTGTCAGGAAGAGCCGTGAGGTTGTTTATATTCGTCAAGGGAAAAATAATCACGAGGGCCAAATTGTTCATATAACTCAGCTTAATATAATCTGAAGCAAGCCAACCTAACCTGACCTAAATAAGCCAACCTAACCTGACCTAACCAAGCCAACCTAACCTGACCTAAACAAGCCAACCTAACCTGACCTAAACAAGCCAACCTAACCTGACCTAAACAAGCCAACCTAACCTGACCTAAACAAGCCAACCTAACCTAACCTAACCTAACCTAACCAAACCAAGCCAACCTAACCTGACCTAAACAATCTAACCTAACCTGACCTAACCAAGCCAACCTAACCTAACCTAACCTGACCTAACCAAGCCAACCTAACCTGACCAAGCCAACCTTACCTAACCTGACCTGACCTAATCAAGCCAACCTAACCTAACCTGACCTAACCAAGCCAACCTAACCTAACCAAGCCAACATAACCTGACCGGAGCCAACCCAAGTAGCCAGAGCCAACTGGAGCCAACCCAAGTAACCAGAGCCAACCGCAACCAGCCCAAGTAACCGGGGCCAACCAAAGTAACCGGGGCCTGCCTATCCTACCCCAACACTTCCCAACAAAGCAACAGGATGTAGAAGCACTCGAGATGAAAACATGTTGGGCGCGGCATTTATACTTCAATGGGAGGCTGTTTGGTGGCATTTCCAAGGCATAGTGTTATTGGGTATGGGCAGCGGGAGTGCGGGTAGTGGTAATGATGGTAGTAGTGTTTGGTGGTGGTGGTGGCGGTCACTCCAGGCCTAACCCGCCCCAATAGAGGGTAATAGGCCTGGCCATACCCACACTCCCAGGCCTCGCTTGTTGCTGGGTCTTCCACACTGCCTTCCCGTAAGTCATAAATAACACATTTTTTTCAGCTACAATATGGAGAAAATAATGTTATTTTATTACTATATATCGATCTTTATTTCTATTATAAACTGTACAGAGAGAAACCAGACAAGAATCGTGTTTATATCAATTCACGAGGACCATACACGGGAAATAAGTATCTGATGGCCCTGTTGGCTATGCTAGGTCAAAGTGAATTAGTTTACCTTGTTAGTATACCTGCCCTGTCCACGTACATTTTTGTATACATGCATTGTGTATTCTATGTATATTGTGTACCTGCAATATCTTTATACATGCCGAATTGTATAACTGCATTGTCTATAAACATGTTGAAGCATTGTAAACTTGTATAACGAGCTTAATGAATAAAGCTAAACTAAACTGAGGCATCACCTGGCCAACGACTGAAGACATCTGTTGGCTCTGTCAGCTAACTTTTGCTCTTTAACAAACTTTATGGGTGTTAAGAGTCGTCATTAGTCTTGAGACGACGAATACTGTATACTTTCTGAAGCTAAACATTGAAAGATATCCCTCAGAAAATGAAAGGACTACCGGAAACTGTCTGTCTGTGCCGCCACCGTCTACAAGTGAACTCCACGACCCGGACATAAGGGAGCTTTAAGCCTACCCATAGAACACGTGTCCTTCACTTTAACTCGGGACAAACATCTCTCACTGACACTCCCGGATGAGGAAAAAATATGAATGTCAGTCCTTTTCCATCAAGTAACATCAAGTGTGTTAATTATCAGTAAAAATGATAATCCCTGGTCAAAAACAACCCCAGACACCACAAATAGAAGGTAATTTCGTGTATCAATTTATAAGAGGTGGATCTAACATGAGGTAAGGAAGGGGAGCAAAGAACCAGACCCAACTCACATGTAGGTCCACAGAATGTCCATTGTTGCTTGATGGTGAGTGAAGCAGCTGGTGGTCACGACGGGCTCCTGCCTCAACCCTCACACTTAAACATCCTCGCCACTTCCCGCACCCTGACCAACGCCAGGCTCCATACTACACCTCGTGCACTACACTATCGTTTCACTACGCCCAGATCACTTCACCACTCCTCTACCAATACACCACAAGTGTTTGGCTCGTGCGGATCACTGGTCAACTCAACTGCGGGACTGTCAACAAGCGGCCGACATATGAGAACTTTCCCCAACAAGAAGTGGGTCTCTTTCACAGGCTGTTGAGGTTCTGGTTTCAGAGTCTGGATGGAAACACTCCCATGAGATGAGTGACCGACACTCCCAGTGTGCTGAGTCGCCTCAGCTTGTCACACTATCACACTGTGTCACGCTCCTCTAGCTTAGTATTACTCTCTTCGTTCCAGTACACTCGCCACTAATATACAATAATATCACAGTTTACGGCAAAGACTTTCATGAACTGCACTTACGAATATGAATATCTTATAGACCTAATTACTGACAACTAATATAATGCACATGTTGCCCAGCACTTGTCTAGTATGACGCTTCCGGAGTAATGTATAGTTGTCTATTATGACGCCTCCAATACTCGCGGTAGGATGTAGCACTTCCCACAGCAGCCGCCACGCCGGGTGTGGTCTACTTCCCTGCTACCAGTCACCCACACACAGTCTCAACTCTAGGCCTCTTTGTCCTGACCACACAAGAGCGCACCCAACTCTCTCCTATCGGGCCGTTTAGGACACAAGGAGGAGTGCCAGGGAGGCAGGCAGTGAGCTGGAGAGCTGGCGGAGAAGTGAACCACACACGGCCGCCACACGCTCAGCTGCGGTGATGAGCGTCAGCTGGCCGTCACCTCTGCGACCACTACTGGCACACTGGCTGGATGCCTCGTGAGTGCCACCAAGACGATGGGTGGGCGGTGGCAGTGCCCGGGCGGCCTGCAGTGAGCCAGGGACGGCTGTACCACCAAGTTAAATATCTGCACCACCAATTGTAACAGAGGGCGAGCACGGCTGGCATCACACATCACGCCATGGTTGTCGCTCCTCGCCAAACACACACACACACACATACTGTACATACACACCGGAATTACGCGCAGGATGTTCTTTATCTGTTACAGCTGGTTAGATGGATGTCATAGCTGGGTGAATAGATGTCACAGCTGGGTGGATAGATGTCACAGCTGGGTAGATAGATGTCACAGCTGGGTAGATAAATGTCACAGCTGGGTAGATAGATGTCACAGTTGGATGGCTAGTTGTCACAGTTGGATGGCTAGTTGTCACAGTTGGATAGCTAGTTGTCACAGTAGGGTGGATAGATGTAGGGCGGGTGGATGTCACAGCTGGGTCGACACAGAAAAGGTAGTTACCATTTGGCCTCGCATGGTGGGGCTTACAGACACTGCCTCGACCTCCCCGCTAGTTGGTGGTCACAGGAAGTCGCAATATACGTCTAAAACGACAGAGTATCGCACTTTACTGAGGGGAGGGGGGGGGGTGCGTGAGGAAAGTGTTGGCTGGTAAGCTGTGAGCCTCCAGCTGTCAAGAATCCACTCCACATTAGGAGGGTCCAGATAATTAGCCCAAGTTAACGAACTCCCAACCACCATCAAGCCGCCCTCCTCCTCCTCCTCGGTATAATTCACCCAGGATAGACTTATGAACACCATTTAAGACCTGGTTTCACTACTGTGTGTGTGTGTGTGTGTGCGCGCGTGCGTGTGCTGGGGGTTGTGGCCCATCAACTGTTCTCATTCCACCACCTGGTATGTTCTTATTACCACCATGCTATGTGAACGATTCCACATGATACTAAATGTTACATAATACTTCCTTGAGATAAATGTATAGTAGGCTATATACCAGGTGGCTACAAGAGAACTCAGGCTCTCACTGGTTCAGCCATGTTAATATTATGATTTTTATCGACTCTGTATCAATGTTCTTCTGGCTAAATAAATTGTTTCAATATCAATATCTATGCTTCCTCTTCACTCACACACACACACACACACACACACACACACACACACACACCAGCGCTTCTACCTTTGCCGTAGATACCGCCGCCGCCGCCGCCACCACCACCATTCTTGAGTTGCAACTTCAGCTCATAAAATGTCGAGACAACGAGGCTTACGAGCGCCGCCCCAGGACCTACCTTTGTCTTCACCACCCCCACAGACGTCCACCCCTGCCAGTACCGTCACCACCCCCACAGCCTCCCCCCTGCCAGTAGGTCTCCCCTACCAGTACCGTCACCACTCTCCCTACCAGTACCATTCACCACCCCTGCCAGTACCGTCACCACCCCACAGCCGGCCCCTACAATACCGTCACCACCCCACAGCCACCCCCTGCCAGTAGGGGCTCCCCCTACCAGTACCGTCACCACTCTCCCTACCAGTACCATTCACCCCCCCTGCCAGTACCGTCACCCACCCCACAGCCGGCCCCCTACCAGTACCACCACTCTCCCTACCAGTACCATTCACCACCCCCCTGCCAATACCGTCACCACCCCCACAGCCGGCCCCCTACCAGTACCGTCCACCCCCACAGCCACCCCCTGCCAGTAGGGTCTCCCCTACCAGTACTGTCACCACTCTCCCTACCAGTACCATTCACCACCCCCCTGCCAGTACCGTCACCACCCCACAGCCAGCCCCTACCAGGCCACCTCACCACTACCAGTCGTCACCACCCCCACAGCCGGCCCCTACCAGTACCGTCACCACCCCGCCCCCACCACTCTGTCCATTTAATGTAAGCGGTTGAGTCAAGTGAAGTTGGCCACAATTATTGAGTTTTATTTTCCAAAACCAAAATTGGAGCGATGTCAATTTTCAAAAAAATCAAATTCTTTTTCACTTTCTCTCTCCTGCCAGACAGCGGCACGTGTAGCCTCTAACTTTTAGAGTGCGTGTGAGCACTTATTGTAAGTGGGTAACTGATAGCTACCAGCTGTTAACATTACTGCATTATGGAAACTCACCACCAACAAACACGTTAACTAAACTCACTCAACGAGACTTACTTGTTCTGGTGTTGTATCCTCTGTGATGTGCACCACACACACACACACACACACACACACACACACACGGCCATGATTTTTTTCTCCAATTCTATGCAAGACGAGTAAAAAGTAGCAAAATGTTGGCGACGATCACAACAAAAGTATTATAACGCCAGTGGTGAGAAGTAACACGAATGAGCCAAGTACACTGAGCCACCCGTCTGTACCGAGAGAGACAACAGTTCCCGCTGAGTGCACTTACAGGTAACACACGGGGTCACTCACTACTGGCACACAGGTAACACACGGGGTCACTCACTACTGGCACACAGGTAACACACGGGGTCACTCACTACTGGCACACAGGTAACACACGGGGTCACTCACTACTGGCACACAGGTAACACACGGGGTCACTACTGGCACACAGGTAACATACGGGGTCACTCACTACTGGCACACAGGTAACACACATGGGGTCACTCACTACTGGCACACAGGTAACACACGGGGTCACTCACTACTGGCACACAGGTAACACACGGGGTCACTCACTACTGGCACACACACAGGTAACACACGGGGTCACTCACTACTGGCACACAGGTAACACACGGGGTCACTCACTACTGGCACACAGGTAACACACGGGGTCACTCACACTAGTCAATCAGTCACTAATTGCTTGCCAGAAGTCCAGGCTGCCTACGATGACTTAACCCGTTGAATACAATGGCTTAACCCGAGTGAAACGATTTAACCTAACCTCAAGATTGAGATGAAAACCTTTTGAATACAATGACTTACAGTATACTGTGCCAATGAGTACGACAATCTTGTATTCAAGGGTTTAAGTGATCGTACTCATGGCGTTACGACAGATAAATAGCATCATCCTACCATGCCACAACCCCACCCTACCTTAAGTAAACCGCACAATACTCGCATCACAGTACAGCCAGTGTGTGTGTTTAGCTCTCACCGTCAGAGGAGGTTTAACAACTGACGCCTGATTCTCCCTGTAACACGTCAATCATTCCCGGTCGCCTCACCACCATCACGCACAGGCAGTATACTGTAGGTGTCATGTGGGCCACATTTCACGCCTGGCTGTACTCGATACTCGTGACAGACACACAGGCACACTGTACGGAACACACTAGTGGGTAATACGCAATTAGGAATGCGGGACCAGGTATGGTTCTACTAGACACCTGTGCCACACAGACGAACACAGGCAGGGGACGCATCAGGGATAATGCTCAGTGACCACTCATGACTATATTCGATACCCCGTCCTACCAACAAATAAAAATGCGTACACACACACACACACACACACACACACACACACGTACACGCATTGAACGAAAATAAACACACATCCACACGTGATATATGAATAGCACAGTAATGCGCAGCATGGGTGAATGTCCGCACCTGTTCCACACACACACACACACACACACGGGACGCACCAGTAATGAACACTCGGGCCGCAGGGCAGCACATTGCTATACTCGTCGCTTGTGCCACACACACACACACACACACAAGCCCGAGGACGCATCAGTAGTAGTGCGCAGTAGGGGGTGCATGACTGTGCCGGACACCTGTGCCACACGCAGGCAGGAGGAGGATGCCCTCATCAAGCAATGATGAACGCCAATGGTGGAGCTACGATCAATCCTGCCCCTTACACACCTGCCCATGTAGGACACTCACCTGCTTAGTGATTACTCCCACCCAAACCCACTCTCCACCCCTCCCTCCTGTAGGGTTGTTGCTCTTGTCACAACCTCCGGAGTTCAATTATCATATACTTCCTGGCAGAATTGCAGGTAATGAGATTCAGTCGGACGCAAGGTGAACTGAGGCCGACATACAAACACTTCGTGCACGACCAAACAGCTGAAGTTTCAGCTAGGTTAAGAAACTGTCAAGCGCAAGTGCAGGTATTGAGAGCGTCCAGGATCCGAACACCTTACATTATTAGTTGTTACAGTCCCTGAGCTGTTAACCTTGAGGTTAAGGATCATATTCTCTCTGGACTGGCAGTGTGAGAGACACACCGGCTTCTGTGGGTAGCGCTGATAACATCACAGTAAACACCCATGCAGTCACCCACACCTGTCGTGGAATGTTAAGTTTTAAACTACCAGTCGGTAAGTTCACACACACACACACACACACACACACACACACACACACACACACACACACACACACACACACACACAATATGTTTTTATCACTTGGTGAAATCAAAGATCGCCCAAAAACAATGATCGGTTTGGGTTCTTTATTCGCACGCTGGCGTTCACAATTTTGATCTCATCTACATACTTAAATTTCACAGCTGGTCGGCCTCAGCATCAGCTGGGTGAGGCACATTTTTTGGTTAACACCGGACAAAGGTCAAGGTCACGGGTCAACGATGAGCATTAACCCACATTATAATCATCCATAATAATCATTAACCAATTGCTACAAACACTTTACACGAGTCAGGAAGGGCTGCGACGACCCACACAAAGTTAGTCATTTTCTTATTTTTATTACAATATTTTTTTAATCCAAAATATGATAAAGATATGACTGCTGTGACTTTATTTCAGTAGCTGTGAGGTGTGTTTAAAGAGACCTATAATAAAACACCTCTTACGTACAGTACACACAACAAATTGTATGAGCACCGAGGCCTCAAGTCCAGCTAACTACACTACCTCAATCATGTAACAACAAGGACATCAACTTCCTGAATCTTCCACTCTCGAAATAATATCTTTAGGTGTTTACTCTTATATAAACCATTAAACCTAACATAGTTCACCGACACAGGTATCCAGTGCATTGCTATTACCCCTCACATCCAAAGCCATTTAAACCAACACACTGTACCAACCAATACACCCCTCCCCCGAGATTTCAG